TATTATTATTATTATTATTATTATTATTATTAATATTAATATTAATATTAATATTATTATTATTATTATTAATATTAATATTAATATTAATATTAATATTAATATTAATATTAATATTAATATTATTATTATTATTATTATTATTATTAATATTAATATTATTATTATTATTATTATTATTATTATTACATTATTATTATTATTATTATTATTATTATTATTATTATTATTATTATTATTATTATTATTATTATTATTATTATTATTATATTGTCCAAAATCCCGTCCAGATTGTCCAAGTCCAGAAGTTCAACTGATCAATGTCTTCGCATCGTAATTTTGGTATTGATGTATCTTTAAATCATTAGAATTTAAAAAAAGAAAAACTAAGTTATGAAAAATTGAAAAACGAAAAACGAAGAACGTAAAATTGAAAAATCTGAAAACGAATATCAAAAAAATTGAAATTCTGAAGAAAAAAAACCCAGAAATCAAACCCAGATCTGAAAAAAAAAACCCTGAAATTGAACAAAAACACGAACCCAGAAAAAGCTAACCCAGAAAAAACGAACCTTGAATTCGAAATCGAACCCAGAAATCAAATTTGAACCCAGAAATCGAAAACAAACCCAGAAATCAAAATCAAACCAAGAAATCAAAATCAAACCCAGAAAAAATGAACCCAGAAATCGAAATCGAACCCAAAAAAACGAACCCAGAAATCGAAAAAACAAAAAAACCAACCCAGAAGAAACGAGATCAAACCCAGAAATTGAACCCAGAAATCAAACAAAAAAATAATCTGAAAAAACAAGAACAAAAAACGAAGACGAAAACAAGATCTAAACAACGATCTGAAAAACAATTAAACCCAGATTTCAAACAAAAAAACAATCTGAAAAAACAAGAACAAAAAAAAACAAAAAACGAAGACGAAAACAAGATCTGAACAAAGATCTGAAAAACGAAAAAAAAAACGATCTGAAAAACAATTAAACCCAGATTTCAAACAAAAAAACAATCTGAAAAAACAAGAACAAAAAAAAACAAAAAACGAAGATGAAAACAAGATCTGGAAAACGAAAAAAAACCCGATCTGAAAAACAATTAAAAAACGAAAAACGATCTGAAAACAAGAAAAACGAAGACGAAAACAAGAAAACGAAAACAAGATTTGCAAACGATCTTAAAAACAAAAAAAAAAACAACTGATATTACCTTATAAACTCAAGTCAAAGAGGAGAGAATGAGAGGAGAGAGAGTGTTCGAGAGAAAGAGAATGAGAGGAGACGAGGATTCGAAAGAGAGAGAATGAGAGGCGAGAATGAGGGAGAGAGAATGAGGAAAGTTGAGAGACGCGTGGGTTATAAGCTAGGCTAATTAATATCCCGACTTTTTTTTTTTTGATCCGTTGTATTAGACAACGGATTCTTATATCTAATACAACGGTTAAAATAAGTGGATTGCTAAACATCGCCCGCAAATCTCCACATAAATCCCACAAATTTATATTGAAGTTACAATATTGCCCTTGACCTTAAAAAAAAAACACAACCTCAATAAAAATCAAAGTACGGGGATGTCGAGGCTCGTGGCGGCAAGGTGGTTGGCTCGTGGCGGCAAGGTAGTGGTGGCTCGTGGTGGTGGCGCCAGGTCCGGCAGCCACGTCCACCGGCCTGGCGTCTGGGCAGGACGCCCAGCCACGGTGAGTGGCGTTTGGGACAGGCGCCAGTCACTGTGGCTGGGCGTCCTGCCCAGACGCCAGGCCGGTGGACGTGGCTGCCGGACCTGGCGCCACCACCAGCCACGAGCCGTCCTGGCCAGGCGCCCCAGCTGCCTTAAATTTTTTTTTTAATTTTTTTTTTTTTTGGAAAATCAGAAAATTTTTCTAATTTTTTTTTAATGTGTTTGATTTTTTTTTTAATAATTATTAATTTTATGTGTTATTTTTTATAAGTCTAGTATATATATTTTTTATAAAATCAAATAAAAAACATAAATTTCCACATCCTAAATCAAAACATAAATTTAATAAACATAATTTAAAAAAATAAAAAAAAAGGCAAAAAAAAAAAAATTAAAAAGTAAGGGCGGCGTCCAAACCAGACGCCGGTGCACTGGTGGTGGCGCCTGGCCTGGACGCCAGTGCACTGGTTGAGGCGCCTGGGCTAGACGCCAGTGCACTGGTTGTGGCGTCTGGCCTGGACGCCAGTGCACTGGTTGTGGCGCCTTGCCTGGACGTCCTTGCCATGGTTCCGGCGTCCAAACTAGGCGCCACCTCGTTTTCCGTCGAAGACGACGTATCTCCGGCGACCCTCGCCTCTCCGGCCTCCCTGGGCAACCCAGTTTGACTCCACATTTGTTAGATCGAGATTTGTTCACTTTGGGTACGATTTTAGAAATGGGCAAAATTGTCAAACCATGTCTAATTTGTGGGCTTTATGTGGAGATTTGCGGGCGATGTTTAACAAATCCCTAAAATAAACCGTTGTATTAGACATGTTTATACGACTTTTTTTTTAACTGATCCGTTGTATTAGACCTAGTCTAATACAACGGATTCTTATATCTAATACAACGGTTAGTATAAACCGTTGTATTAGACCTGTTTTAGTATAAACCGTTCTATTAGCATTCTAATACAACGGTATGAAATTAGCCGTTGTATTAGCTAATTTTGTATCGTTGTATTAGATTAAAAATGTAGTAGTGACCGTATGGCTGGAGTTACTTATTCTAAGACTACTTATTCAGGGGTTACTCGATTAGTCAGGGGTTACTTATTCAGTGGTTACTCACAAACAGAAAATGAGCTAACTGACTGAGTAAATTTATTAGAATAAGTAGCCCATGACCGATTGAGTAACCTCTAAATAAGTAACCCTGGAATAAGTAACCCCGACGAAAATGCGCTAACCGACTAAGTAACCCAAAATAAGTAACCCTTGACCGACTAAGTAACCCCTGAATAAGTAACCCCGGCCACACGGTGTGGCGAACCACACAGAAAAGGCACCGATCTTATTATTATGTAGTACTCCTTAATTATTTGCTAATGAAAGCCTTTTAACCAAAATAAATAAGTTAATGAAGAACGAAATTAAATACTATCTTCTTCAAAACTTTAGTACTTCCTCCGTTTCTTTTTAGTTGACACGTTTCTTTAGTCACGTTTGCCAATGCACAACTTCAACCATTAATATCTCTAATACCGATAAACAAAAATTATGAAAAGTTGATATTTTGAAAATATATATCGTGACGAATCTAACAAGATCCTACGTGACTATATTTTTCATTAGGTATAAAGCACAAAAGACGGTTAAAGGGGAGTGAGTGAATAGTGCTAAAGTCAAAATGTGTCAACTAAACATTGATAAAAATAATTAAAATTTTAATACGGAGTATTATTATAAAAATCGAAATTAAAATGTTGTTCTATAACTCTATATCATAAAGATATTTTATTAATTTGAATTACTTTATAACAATTTCAGTACAACCCAGTAAAGTGAATGGGTGAGGGGTGGGGCAGGGGGAGAGAATTGAAGCTGTTAACAGTTTTTGTCCAGCCTTGAAAAGTAAATGGGTGTGGGGTGGGGCCAGGGGAAGGAATTGAAAATGTTAACACGCTATCGGCCTGTTTAGTAGATGATAATGAATAAGGTTTAAGTGTAATGGATTTAAGAGTAATTTTGAAAAATAAAAGTCTCATTTCAATGTCCTTGCATGGTATTAATTAAACTCCACATCTTATGTATCATGTGTATTTTTATATAAAATTTATTACCACATCTACAAGTATTAATGAGTTTCAATGAAATTAAAATTAATGAAGATATTTGGAAGGGGACAAATATTATGGTGACGTGTTAACATGACTCTTTTTCTTATAGCACACTTTCTCAACCTCTAAATGCTTTTCTTTTTCGTCAAAATACGGACAATATTTTCAACTAGAGAGAGTATATATAAAGTATTACAATAGTACCAAATTTAATAAAAATTCATTATCATTACCACAACTTATTACGGGATAAACCTATTAAACCGGTTGTTAGTAATTAATAGAAGAGTAAAAGGAAATCCAAAAGGATTTTATATAATAAGGGATTAAGGGGTGATTTTGTGTAGGTGGTCCATCAAGTACATACACTGCTCATTTGCCTTGCATATCAAGCAACTCTTTCATCCTCTCTGCAATTCTCTCTCTCTTTCTTCTTAAAAAAAATTTAATAGAGAAAAAAAAAAAAAAAACCAAAACATTTTCATGGCAAAAGAATCATGATCACCACTCCAGCTCAAAACCCATGTGAGTTCATCTTTTTCCTTTATTTCTCCCTTCTTCTCTCTCTATTTTCTTATTTCCTTTAATTTAATTTCCTCCTTCTTTCTCTGTAAAAAGCTTGATTCTAGGAAAAACAAAATTCTTATCTTAATCACCCATAAACCCCATTTTTAATTTTAATTTTTTTACCAAAAAAAAAAAAAAAAAAAAAAAATTCCATTTCACACCTTTAATTTTCTCTATTTTGTGTTTTTTCCAACTTGACAATTGGGTATCTTTTTTTTTTTAAACTTTACTAAAATTTCCTTCACCCCACCAAATATTCCATTAATTTCACCGATACCCCCTTTAAAAAATCATGTTTATATCATAAAATGTTGTCATTTTAATTCAATCAACAACTCCAAATTTCACCCCCTTTTTTTCCTCTTTATTTATTTATTTTTTTTAAATTTTTTAATTTTTAAATATATGTTTTTAATTATTATGGCTTTAGGAAGCAGTTAGTCAAGAAATATAAGAACCGCCATACTTAATTTGGGAAAGTCCTTTAAAGGTGGGTTATTGTATACCTATTTGTCTGAACCCACCTTTTCCTTTTTCATCTTCTTCAATTCTTCTTCTTCCGTTAAAGTTATCACCAATTTCTGGGTTTATTTATTTATATATTTTTTTTCCCTTTTTATTTTTTTTTTAAATTCAAAATTTATATATATATATATCCAATAATATATTTTTTTCCCCTTTTTTCTCAATGTTTAAAGTTAGTATATGTGTCTCTCTCTAGAGCAAGAGTGTGTGTTTTTTAGCTGAGTTCCACCGTGACTGTCAGTTTCTTCCCTTTCTCCTTCTTCTCTTCTTATCCCCTCATTTTCTCTCTCCTCCATCTCTATCTCCTATTTTTTTCTTGGAGAAAAAAAACATTTTTCCAACTGGGTTTTCAATTTTATCACCTAGGTTGTCATTAATTTCATCTGGGTGTTTCGATTTTCTTGTATTTCAATCAAAATCGTGTGTTCTTCTCGTATTAAAACCCTTTTGTTTGTTGTCGATTTAGGTGCAGTTTTGATGGATGATATTCAAGGAATGATCATTGATGGTGTGTTAGTACAACAACAATTGTTATTGATGATGAAGAGTGTTATTTGAAGTGTAGAAGAAGCAAAGGTCACTATTGTTATAATAATAAAGGAAAAAAAAAAGTAATATTATTATTAGTAGTAGTAGTATAGTAGTTAGTATAATTATATTATTTCAAAAGAGGCTGAGGTAGTATTAGGGAAGAATTCTTAATTAGTTTTTATAATTGATTAAAGTTTAGTTAGCTATGAATAATAATAATAGTAGTAACAAATCCCAATTAAGCTCCATTAGTAGCGCGAGCGATCTCATAGATGCTAAGCTTGAGGAACATCAGCTTTGTGGATCGAAACAGTGCCCTGGTTGCGGTCATAGACTCGAAGGATCAAAACCGGTATGTAATTAACATATGCTGTAATACCCCGTATTTTTATTAGTTAGCGTTGCTAAAAAATTTGATATAATTAGACTAATAATGATTTCGGAAAAATAATTTTAGTGTTATAAATTTATTTTTGGGTTGTAATTTTTTTTTTTTTGAAGGTGCTAATTTGTTTATGAAGTTTCTTGAAAATTATTGGGGACAGGATTGGGTAGGTCTACCAGCTGGTGTTAAATTTGACCCAACAGACCAAGAGTTGATAGAACATCTTGAAGCAAAAGTGGAAGGAAAATCATCCAAATCTCATCCTTTAATTGATGAGTTTATCCCTACTATTGAAGGTGAAGATGGTATTTGTTACACTCATCCTGAAAAACTCCCAGGTATTTTATTTAATCTTCTTTTTCGCCAAAAATTGTAAAATAAAAATCATAAAATTATACTAATTAAAATTTTGTAATTTTTTTGTTGAAAAAAAAAAAACATTGTTTCATTAATCTAAAACACCTTGCTTCCTTGCCTACCCAAAAACCAAAAGGAAAAAAAAAAAAAATTAAGTTGATTAATCAATTTTTTAATTAATCAGAAAGTCTTAACTAAAAAAACACTAATTAACCACCACCACCACCCCCAATAGTTATATTTGGGTGTTTTCCTCCCAAATTTTCTACCACTCCATTGTTTGTTATGACTTTCATTACATCACATATCCATAATTAGTAGTTTTATTTACATTTGTCTTATAGTTGGTTGCACCTAAGTCAACCTAACTTTGAAATATCAATATTTTCAATTTTCTTGTTTCTCATTCTTTGGATGTCATGTTTGTTTAATTTTTCAACAGGAGTGACTAGAGATGGATTGAGTAGACATTTCTTCCATAGACCGTCGAAGGCCTACACCACCGGAACACGAAAACGAAGGAAAATCCAAACTGAATGCGACCTCCAAGGGGGCGAAACACGGTGGCATAAAACTGGGAAAACAAGGCCAGTAATGGTGAATGGGAAGCAAAAGGGGTGTAAGAAGATTCTAGTCCTATACACAAACTTTGGCAAAAATCGAAAACCCGAGAAAACAAATTGGGTGATGCATCAATATCACTTGGGACAACATGAAGAGGAAAAAGAAGGGGAGCTAGTAGTGTCCAAGATATTCTACCAAACACAACCTAGGCAATGTAACTGGACAATGGAACGTAGCGCGACAACCGGAGATGGAAGTGAGCCTAGTGGAAGACGAGAGAGTGGAAGTGGGAGTGGAAGTACTTCTTCGTCTAAAGAAGTGATTACACATCATGGTAGGGATGATCAAATATCTATTTCTGCTGGTGTTAATGTTGTTGGTGGTGCTGCCGCCGGGCTTTCGAGTTTTACTGCCTTGGATATGCAGCAATTGAGAACTACTGCTGAACAATTCAGCTTTAATACATTTGCTAATAATAGTAGAAAAGGCTTTGATGAGGTAAAAAAAACTTTCATTCTACCCCTTTCCCAATGTAGATTGTGTTAGAAATTGAACTATTCATTTGCTTGTCCTACCAAATGGGTGAAATTTCGCAATATATGAATTTTTTTCTCATAAATTAATAATTGTGTACCTAAAAAACAAAATTAAGTAAATTGCAAGTCAATTTATTTTTATTTTTTTTAAATGTCTATTTAAATTTGTACTAATCAAGTAATAATTAGAGAGTTTGTCACACCAATTAAATATTTCAAAGTACTAAATAAGATTTGTTATTAGAAATATAATACCCAAACAATATTTTTTTTTAACACTTTTTCTAATAAAGTAATAGTAGGGGGTTTGTCACACTAATTTAGATGTTACAAAGTACTACGTACAAATTAAGATTTGAATTTAATATATGATACTCATAAAAGATAAAACTAATCACACAACATTTGCATTTGGTTCCTTAAAATCGATTCCTAGTTGAAAAAAAAACCTTAATTAAAATAGCAAAAAAAATAAAAGAGAAATAAAAGTAAAAGAGTAAAGTTTTAGTTTTTTTTTTTTTTTTTAAGTTTTAATTTTTACTTTTTGTGTTAATGGCTTTGCATGCAAAGAATAAAGAAGTTAATTAAATTTTGACTGCCGAACAATCACATTCATGTATCAAAGCTTAGACTTTGTTTACCAACTTATTAAGAATAGCTCAGTAAGATGAAAAATTAAAGATACAAAATCTTTGGCAACCTTGTAAAAGTGTAAATTAAACTTCATTTAATCTTAAAATGCAAAATATAGTACTAAAAACACAATCAAGTTGTAGTACAAATATATTTAGCTAAAGTATAGCTAATTAATCAAGCTTTAATTCATGCCCTTGTTTACTTTGTCCCTCAGGCGGGAATGGGAGATGCTTCAACAACAGTAAGGGAAAGTGCCGCCATGTCGGCTGCATGCGACGACCACGAGCCAAGGCCACAACATCATCAGCTTCATCACCATCCTCATGCTATGAATGCTCCCCAAGATCATCACCATCATCATACACACCAATCCATAGCAACCTCGGCTGCCTTTCACATGAGTAGACCATCACATCCCATTTCCCAAATCATCTCCCCTCCTCCCCTCCATCATGCTTCCATTATTCTTGATGATGACTCCTTCCACCATGTATCGCGAATCATGCTTCAAAATGAAACTTTTCATCATCAGGTAATAAATTCTAACTATATTTCATGTATGATTGATTAATATTTGTCATGTTATAACTCTATAATTAATTTAGCTAGATACATTATATGGCATGCATGGATTTGTGTATGAATTATGAGTTGTCCAAAAATCTCATGCTCATTTGAGTCCAAATTAATATGTGTCTTTTTAGATCAGAAATAGTTCTCATTTCTCTCATAATGAAAAATACAAATTAGGTGACCTTCCTCACTAGAATTTGCCTTTTTGAATAGTTTTAATTTTTTTTTTTCTTTTTTACCCCAAAATGTTGTTTTAACTACATTCTTGACAAAAAAAAATTTCGACTCCTCTACTTTACAATTATGTATAATTCCATTAAAAAAACATTGTATAAAAAAATTAAAGATAAAGTTTATAATGTATATGTACTATGTATTTTATAAGATAATTGGGTAAAATTAAATTAAATTAACTAGTAAAAGTTTGAAAATGCACCATCTAAAAATAAATAAAGTTTAGTAAAACACTTTTATTACTTCTAATTTAAGTTTTTACTCCTTAAATAGAAATTTATATACACTTTAACTTTATTATTCCAACTTAAATATTTGACTTTTAAGTAGAAGTTATATTCTTATAAGTGTTAAATTGCCTTCTTGTGTTTTGTGTGATTGTATGTAAATGTTCCATTTTACTAGATATATAACCTCGACCTAGACTTTTTAATGATTTTCTTTGTACATTAGTCAAAAAAGAAATTCTTATTATTTCTTTTATTGGCTTACATACTAGAGATTTTTATTTTATGGAATGCACAACATAGCTACTTATATGAGGAGGACTAGACAGAGTCTTTTCCATCTAGCTTCCTAAATACTACAGTATATATGTAAATGTTACTTCTACCGACCTTTCGAAATTAAATAAAATTCTAATGTATATATGCTCAATAATATTATTTTACAAATCCACAAAGATAATATGGAGTATCATAGAAGTAATTTTAACTCGAACACACACACAAAAAAAAAAAAAATTGTTAGTTTTTATGTGAGAGCTGTTAATTAGGGGATGAGGGGTCGATCGAGATAATTTCCTCACCGAATTAGTGGATCAAGTAATCACTTAGAGCTAATAAGATAACTGATGGTTGAGACCCAAAAATATGTTTTATACTCTATCAGATAAACTGATAATTTTTACTTCGTGTATTCTTGGATATTGAAATAGACCCCACATTAATTTCTTGGCATGATGTTTCTAAGAGCCTAACATGAAAAAGGAATAACACCAAATATATATTGCATAAATAGATTATATATATGTGGTACATTGATAATGATTCAATTCATGTATACTGAATGGTCCTTATAGACAAATGTTGGAAAAATAAAAAAAATTTGAAGAAAAGTAAATTATCAAACAATAAATTGCGATTATGCGGGGTCTACGAATATGAAAAATGAGTCTAAGTAGTAATAATAATCATATATATATGTACACACTTTAATTAAGAATAAAATATGTATAAAAGTGGGATTAATTTTTGATCTAATATCATAATCATCCAACGTAGAGTAGTAAATATATATAATTACTTTAATGTTAGTTCAAAGCTAGTTCAATCTATCTTAATTTATTTATATATATGAGCTAAATAATAACTTTTCAGATATGGTAATAATGTAGGGACAAAATGATAAATTTTGATGATAATGTCATGCTTTATAACTTTTGATGTTTTCTTTATGTTTTGAGTAGCAACAACAACATCAGCAGCAGCAACAACAACAGCAGACAACACAACAACAACAACAACATCATAAACTTGGAGGAAGGTCTGCTGCTGGTTTAGAAGAAATCATCATGGGCTGCACTTCTTCTGTTTCTGATGGTGGTGATATCAAGGAAGTAAGTGTTACCTTTTTGACTCTGAATTCTATGTGTCTACTTTTTTTAGATTTATATAATTTCGTGCTAGACGTCAAATATTATTATTATGGGATTTTATATGTTCTTGGTCTAGTCTCTACCCGTTGTTTCTATTTTAACCGTGATTATATGGTATTGCTAAAAATGTTGAAGTACGAACAATATTAAGAGACGGATGGAATAAAATATAATACTGGAGATGTGTATAGATGTAGAAAAAGAAAAAGGGAAAGAAAGTAAACAGGATTAAAAGTTGGAAAAGATGAAAAAATCCCCCCCTACCTACGTCTTTACTATACTAGTAGTTTAAGAATAAAGAGATAACTAGAAACCTTTTTTTTTACCTTTTCTCTTTATCTCTTTTTTCTTTTGATTTGTTTTTCTACTCTACTGCGTACATTATTGTGTATATGTACACAATGAAACTAATTTAATAAGATACATAAACAATGTAATAATAATTGATTAAGTAAAGTAACAATATGATAGACATAAAAATATCGCTTCATCAATCTCAACATATACAAGTAACACACTTATAATATTCACATTATTTTCTCTGTTCCAAAATTAGGTTTTTTTTATTTTTAATTAATGACTGATGAGAACAGTTGAATTTTTCATAAAAATCACGCGTATTTTTGTATGATGGGACACTAGAAATGGATAAATTCCTCTAAAGGATGATTAAATTTCATAAAAATAGCTAGGTGGTAAATTCACGTTAGCATGTACAAAAGGAGGGGGATATGATAAGGACTTGGTCCTCTTCTTACTGCCTCTTTCGGTGCAAATGAAAACTTTGGAATAATAGAGTGTCATCAATTAATGTTTGTACATTCAAAAGAATGTTTTCATCATTTCTTTTTCAATTTTTTGGCAATTTCATGCAGCTGTTTTCTACTGTTATTTCCCCAATTTTATGTAAGGACCATATAACTAGTGCTATACTTTTTTGCCAATAATTACGAGTGTTTGATTGTTAATTTTTACCATCAATTTTAGGGCAATAATGTTACAACTTTGTCACCTTTTTTATTTTTAATTTTTTTTTACATGAGTCACTTTTATTAGAGGTATTAGTAATAATGATGGAAGTAAAAAGAATCATAAAAATTAAATACCTAATATAAGTTGTTTTCGGTTCTTTTATAAATATGTGAAGTCATGAAAATTCATTATATTGTTGCTAAAGTAATACAAATTGGTTAGTAATTACTATGAAATTGTAGACCTTAACTTGATGCCTAGGCTATAATTCAATAAATATATAAATATGGATATAAGAATTAAAGATTAAGTCATGTTGGTTATCTAATTTTGAAAGGTCCCTTATAGCTTAATTATTTAAAGGGTTTTTTTTTTTTTTTTTTTTCTTCTTCTTCTTCCAGGGTTTTATGTGTAGGATTTGTTAAAGGTATACGTACGATTGATTACTTAATAAACTCAGGTTAAAAAAAAAAAGTTGATGTGTTTACATGCACTACATTATTTGATTATAGGTTTTCCCTCTATTGGTAGAGGATCTCAAATCCTATTAAATTAAACTACCCAAAATATAACCTTAAATTACTAGGCTTCTAGTTAAAAGAAATAATCCCTTCATTGAAAATAATTTATGATTGTATAGTTTGTGAAAAATAAATATGATAGGAAAGTATATAGTGCAAATATTAAAACATTGTAAAGACTAGCATTCAATATGAAGAAAGTACGACACTACATATAATGCAAAACACATTTTTCAAGGGAGAATTTTGGTACAGTTCTTTGAAAGAATAACGTAACATTAAAATATTATGATTTATGAACACAAACAAAAAATGTCTTCTTCAAATTGAGCTGAGAAAATTGGCATAACATATAGTAGTAAATATAGACAATGACCCAAGAACTTTTGGCTTCATTATTTCATTACCAAGATAACAACATCAGAATTTTATTTAATTGTCAATGTCTGTCTTTTCCACTTATTAGAAGACAAAAAAGGCAGCTTCTTAATTTCCTTAGCATACATTAATTATTTGTACATATAGAACCCTAACCCTAGTTTTTATTTTTATTTTCTCTCCTCAATTTTATGGCAGGAGTCTTCTATGACAAATCCACCAGCTGAAACAGATTGGATGAAGTACTCTTTCTGGCATGATGCTGACCATTCAGATCCTCATCATCATCATGGGTAAAACCCGAAAAAAAATTTGAAAACAAAAAAAAAACCAAAAAATGCATACAATTTATTATTTTTTTTGACAGGGAAAAAAAAAAACAATTTTATCATCATCATAGTATATCCAAAGGCTTCGTCTATTTTTTCTTTTAAACAGAAGCCAGAAACATTTGATCAGACGGTTTGACAGAAGACCTGCTCGATCTATATACAAAGCATATACTTGTATATGTATACATATGGCCTTGGTAATACTTGTTTACTTTCTTTTTCATGGGTGGAATTCTGTGATAGATCAACAACAACTGAACTAACTGATCCAACAACTGTCCCATGTTGTATAGAATGAAAAAGAAGAAAGAAAAAAGGCTTCTTCTCTCATACAAAGAAAAAGAAAGAAAGAAAGGCTGCTGGACGACTACTGACAATTTAGAAGACCAAAAAGCACATCAAAATCATCAACAATATGATTACAAAATCATCTTTCTAAGAACTATAATTTTTTTATTTTTTATTTTAATTTTGTGGTTTGTTGTAGCTAGGAGAGTATAATGTATAAGTTTTTATTTTATTTTATATAGAATTTATTTCTCTTTTTCTAAAAGGAAAAAAAAAAAACATGAAAAATTCGCCATTAAGAATTTGTGCAATTTGTCATAGGAGCAATTGTATTTTTATTTGTGCTAATGTATAGGTTTTCTCATTTTAAATTTTAGAAGGATGTAAATTAAGTTTCCAATACAGAAAAGAAATGTGTTTCAACAATTATCACAATTTTTTGTTCTATCTTTGTAATTCTTTTGTATTCGGTTTTCTCGACTATTGGACATGAGCAACGATGAATGATTCTAGAAAACTGCATATATAATTGCTCATTTTGTGAATGCATAGGTTTCATTTGAATGTTATTGTATGCTTTTACTGATATATTATGGATTTATGGTTACATATACACATATTTAAAAATTTACATGTTAGTCAAATATATATATGTTCAAGTACATAAATTCTTATAAGTCATGGACTGATGATCAGTAGATCAACTTTTAGAATATTATGATTTTATAAAGTCGTGGGTTGTTGATCTTCTGTGTAGATTATAAAGTATATTGTATGAGCATGTAAAGTTTCCTTACTCTATAAGTTATTCCGATTTAACCTTATTTTAATCGAATATATATATCGTATGCATTATATCCGGAATCGTACGGGTATATCCAATGGCCGTTAAAAAAATACAAGAAATACAAGATGGATATATGGATCTGTTTTTAAGAGATTGTGTTTGTGATGTTATTTTAAACTAATGTAGCCTATGATCGATAAAAATTTGACTCCAAGAAATAAAAATCACTTGAAAGAGCTTGTAATTATTACACATGTATCCGGGAGAGTGTATCTAAATCGTTTTATAAGGGAGTGTGTGTTGTATGTGATGCTGAATAGATACATATTGTCACGTGGTATCTTTCGAACTCACGTGACATTTTAAACGTATGTGCTCATGATGAACATGAATGATGAATCCTTTCACACACGTGTAGTGTCTGAAGTGGCATAAGACATTGTTCTTATTAATTGGTACCCAACATATAGAGGAATACCAGGTTGATATCCTATAGTAACAAAAACATGTTAATATCACTAATTTTCTCTCTCCTTTCTTCATATGACCAATTTTTCCTTCTCTCTCCTCTATTTCCATGGCCGTTATTTCCTTCTCTCTCCTCCATTCCCATGGTCACTACTTCCTTGATCGACCACCTTCGCAGATCTAAAGTGGTCGGCCAGCCAAACAAAAGACACCCTAGTAGCAATTTATGAAAATTGGGCCCATACAAACCCCTTAGAAAAAGGGATTCGCTCGTACTAGTGGTGTTGCGACAACCAAATGGTGGTGCTCGGTCGGCTGGTGGTGCTAGAGATCGTGCAGTGGTCGACTGGCGAAGCCGTGCGGTGGTCGACTGAGGTCGATTGGTGAAGGTAAAGGTCGTGCGGTGGTCGGCTGGGGTTTATTGGTGAAGGTAAAGGCTGTGTGGTGGTCGGCTAGTGAAGCTAAAGGTGGTGCGGAATGTGGTACTAGAGGTTGCACGGTGGTGATAGAGGGGAGAGAAAGGGGGCATGGTTGCTAAATTTACAAAATTATCCTTGATGTGACTATTAAATTTACAAAGTTAGCCTTGATATTAACAAGTTTTGTTAATACAGGATATCAACTTGTATTTTCTCCAACATATATATAAGTTTTAATAATAGATCGGCCCATGACATAAGATCGAATATATGATAGATTATGTGAGGTAGATTTATATATGATGGTGATTGGTGAATTTATATTTCTAAGAGATATGCAATTGACATGTTATTAGGATGACAACAGGTCGGATTCGGAGTGGATTATGCTAAATCTGACTCTGTCCCTACAAGAAGTCGGAGGCTAATCCGACTCCGAGACTCCGACTTTAATATACGGCCTCCGACTCTGAGTTTTTTTCGGTTATTCGATTTACTTTGAGAGATTGGGCTATTTGGGCCTTAGCAACCCACACTACATACTCTACAATTAAAGTATAAAATTACACATAACCCCAAAAAAAAAAAATAAAAAAAAAATTATATACAAGTCGGAGTTGGAGTCAGATTACGGGTCAAATTATCTCGGAGTCAGATTTTTTTCTCAGATTTTTTGTAGAATTCGACTCCAACCCTCCTCCGACTCGGAGTCAGATTATTTTGACGGATTCGGACTCGAATTACTTTTTTCTCGGACTCGAAGCGAATTTTTTTCCTCGGATTAAGGCTGAGTAGGGTCGGATCCGAACTGGATTGCCATCCCTACATGTTACTAACACTCATACTCTATGGACATGTGTACATACTCAGTGACCTATCTCATTGATTGTAAATGGCAATAAAGTGAGTTTGCTCATGTATTCAAAACATTAATTTGAATAATAATGACTTTGTTTCTCGGTACATTACATCTTAGAAAAATTAAAGGAATTTCGAGAATATATTCTCTCTTTTTGTTAGTACATTTACCACAAAAATGTATGGCGACTTTTGTGTATAATCATTGGACCTTGAGTTAGAGGAAGCTAGAAGTAAAGCTAGAAGAGAGTAAACTTCTTTTCAACTTTGATTTTTGGAAAATATATGGATTGGAATCTTCTTGCCGCGCATAATGCATGGAAGCATAAATCACATACATTTGAAATCATGTAGTAAGATTTTATATCTTTGCTTTACTATATGCCATATTCCAAACTTTTTGTACATAATTATTGGTTTCTAAATATGGTGTTCTTACCCAATACCTATGCAAAAAATTACTCCCTTTGTTCAGAAATATTACTTGTCATATAACAAATTGTCCAAATCCTTCATAATTTAGGAGTATAGTCCAATTTAATTAAAGAATGTTCATTTGTAGAGTCAAGATTAAGAGTTATTTAAAATATGATATCTTCAGAATTCTAATCATAAGTCATTACTATAGATGAAAAAATGACAAATTTCTCCGAACATCTTCAAGTAATACACTCTCCAATTGCACCAACTTGTACTCCTATCCCATCTGACTTTTAGATAAATTTCGTATTTGATTATTAAACAACTTATTTAATTACTCGTATTTACTACTTCTATCTCAGAATTAGTGCATCACATGAACGTTTGTATTATTCATACATATATACTAACTTGACTGTTAGCAAATGTCAGTCAAAACAATATAATGCACTAATTTAATTTAGAAATAGAGGAACCGAGGGAGTAAAAATATGATGTATAATGGGTGTCAACAGTGTATACACATACGACTATTAATTCTTAACGAAATAGAGAAGTTGCATGGTGTTTTCCTTGCTTGTACGGGGATGGACGTGCATGAAGGATGAGTATCATTGAGGCAACTTCATCGTAACTTCATAAGCGAAAAAAGACAACAAACAAGTACTACGGCATATATAAGGTGTAGAAATTGCATAACTTTTTTCAAGTATTGGGAAATTACCAACTTCTGCACATTTTTATTTAGTTTCTTTGGAAGTTAGTTTGTGTCGTACCAATTAACCCAACTGATTTCTTCTTACAATGTAATCATTTCTATAGTTGTTGGCCAATATCACGAATCTTTTTTATAGACATCACATTAATTAATTAATAAATAAATTCATTCATTTACGCTTTTTACATTTAATTGATGGTCTTTGTCGCATTTAGGTACTTACAATATTATCATATCACTCAAATTTGTTGATTGCGGAAAGGTGAGAAGTGTTTTTGTCTTTAAATTTGCTATATATTACAAAAAAAAAAAAAAAAAAAAATATTGTAAAAACAATTAGATCTCTACATTAAAATAAGGTCATAAAATTGATAATGAAATTTGCACCAAAGATGATAAGATATCACACCTTCATTAGCTAAAATTATAGAATTATTTTGGTTCTCATATACTTTGTATATTTTAAATTAAACTACTAATAGTTTTATCAAAAAACAAAAAACCTAGTAGGTGGTCACGTAAGGGTATTATAAGAATTAGTTCTATGATATAATGCATGTATGGGAATTTAAAACATACGAAGTATATGACATGTATAAAAAGAACGGTGCAATGTATCATACAATAGGTCAAACTTGGCACATTCCACTCCGATGCTCAATCAATAGAAGCCAAAGGCGAAAGTTATGCTTGGGAGATCAATTTAGTTCATCTTTAACAAATTCGTGATGAAAACCTTGGAGGAAAGGCTCTTAGTATGTGTTTCTCATAGCAATCTATGACAAATTATTGTATCTTAATTGTACATATGTTATTGTACAACAATTTAAAACATTAATTTGGAAGGAGATTAAATTCAAATGAGATATTTGGAAATTTAAGTTTCCCTCCCTAAGTATATGACAATTTTGAACTTTGTTTTAGAATAGTCTAGAATTAAAGCAAGGCTTTAAGTCTTTATTTTATTCCATCAACTTCCACTACTAAAATAATGTAGCATTTATTTGCATCCAAAAATATTCTTTCCATGAGTCTCCGGTATAAGATTCCTCCCACTTTTTGTTGATGCTGATAGTAATATTCCGATAAGGATCAATTTCTTACCGAGGTTATATATTGGTATCTTGTAGTATTATAATACTATTTCTTGATTAGTTTACTGTATAAAATGTTGAAATTTTTTATTGGAATAATAATTATCCAAATAACTAATAAACTTGGCATTGAGTGCTTGACTTAAACTATTCTACGTATTTAGGTATTAATCTTAATTAAGCATTGTACTTTTTAATTTTTTTTTATATAAGTACACTTTTGGGTATGTAGTCTTGATTATCTATGGACAAGAACCAATACTAACTCCGAGTTCTCATGCATATCCCCATCTTGTCACAAGATGAGCTACTTCTTAACAGAGAGAATCTACATGAATGTGAATGACGTACATCTAAAATATCTAATGAATGATAATAAGTGAATTAGCTGAGCATGGGATCATAAGTCGAGAGAAAGCCTAACCATTAACAAACTTTGAGGGTAAAGCAATAATACAGTGGTCCTGTTATTATACATGTACATTCATAGGATACTCTCCAACCCAAAAATGGGTTTATATATAAATTAAATTAGTGGATAAGATTGATATGTAAAAAGAAAGAAAAGGAAATATATATTACTTCAATTCCCAATAAATAAATACTCAAATTAGAATCATAAACTAGCATCGGAATTATGTAGATACGCATATATATAAAGGTAGTGTATTTATGCAAGTACATACTGCAGCGTTTCAAAAGGTGGCAGCCTAGGCTACCTGTGAAGGGGATAAATTTTGCTCTAGATATCAGAGTTTTATGTCACTTTCCACATGCAAATGCGGACTATACTTTATCCGTTCTTTTTTAACTGCTACGTGGAGGAAATACGTATAGATAGAAAGTATCATTGTATAAATAAATACGAGTAATGTTGTAGTGAATATACAGCTTAGCTTCTATCAAAAAAAAAAAAAAAAAATTTAATGGAAAGTATAATTTACTTGTTTGTTTTTTAAGGGTTATAAGGATGAAATGTCTTGTTCAAACTAAAAGGTGATATTCAATTTCTTTCTCAACTTTGTAAGAAGATTTAAGGTGCTTAAAAAAGCAATAATAATGATAATTGATAAGTAGAGGGATTAATTAAGAGTTAAATTAAGGGGTTTTTGCATTGTTTTGTATAAATAAAAAATTAATGTGGGTTTTAACAGATTTGGTCTGGTAAAGCAGTTGCAAGAAGAATTATATTAGTGCAAGTTGGAATATTACAACATGGATAGTTGCATTGCCTTCTTTGGCTTTTATTTGGATTCTTTAGCAAAGCAACTTCTTAAGGCCTTGGTTAACCTTCTTTTCATTCCAATCTCTGGGGGGATGATAGAGTACATTTCCTCTACTTTTTCTTATGATCTCGATCGATTATAGAGTCATTATTAAATCAGGTGATTCCTAATTTCAAATTAACAATTCAAAATTGGGGACAATTTATAGAATTATTGATAACGTGATTTCTAATTTCAAATTAAAGGTTTAGATAACACTGCATATTTCTTAAAACGAGATGTTGTAGTTTTATGTCAAAACAATAACTTTACTGAATTGTTGGGCCTAGAATTTTAAAAATAAGAGGGTGTAACAAGACTGAATTAACTTGACAGTACGAGTATACTTCGTGTAAGACTTCATGATGCAAGTAGCTGCAAATTAAACTTTACTAGTCTTCATCAAAATTTTACTGCTACATCTAGTACTAGTGCTAATGTGCTCAGTCTTATCATAACATGGAATTAATCAGCTTAAATAATTTGAGCCCTTTTATACGCCTCTCCTCCATTCGAACCTCCACATACAACCCTCTTATGCTACATGAAATATGTTGGCAAATGATGATTCGATAATTCGAGGCATGTCTTTTGATTTGGGAATAGGCTTTTGAATGACAATTGATCTCTCATCTTACTAAATCTAGTCGTCTACCATCAGTCATACTTCGTCTAGTCGTCTACCACCAATAGTCATAGAGGTAGTCAAATGCGCATGCTGGTTTCACCATTCACCATATAACTAACCTAAAATTCCTGTGAGGGTAAATCTATTAGTCTAGTCCTGAAACCAATAGAAGCATGGCCTATGGCTAGATCAATCCAACACAGGGCTGATTGGTTCAAGGCCTAGCTTGTTCATATCTTTTTCGGTGTTTAGACAGACCCGAAACAGGGTATTTTATGGGATACCCAGATAAACATTCTAGAGACTACCCTTCTCAGGGTACATTCGAACCGTTATTTTCCCCTCCCTCTAGGAGGATCTATCCTGGAGCATATGGCTCTCCCCCGAAGCTCTGCTATGGTCACCTTCAATTTGAATGTACGCCGATGGTTCATGTTACAGCAAACCACCTTTTTATAGGATAGGGGTGGGAATATCATCCAACACTAAACATTATCAAACATAGAGCATTCACATAGTTATAGCATAAATATTTCATTACACAAAGCAGATACTCAATGCGAGAGGAGTAATCAGATATGCAGTGACTTCCTCTATGTGTATTAGCTAAGTTAACAACAAGAGCGGGCAGCAAAAGTTGTACAATATCTACTGTAACTTACAAGTATATTAAGAATGTCAGAAAGGAAAACAATACAGGTTTATAGTATGAGTTATTTACAGGCAGAATAATTTCAATACACAGGGAACAGATACAGGTTTTGTACAACGAGAGACAATCAACTGTTAAATCTATTGAAAGAATGGGAATTACTTCATCTGTACACTACTCCCTACTCTCATGGATTCATGGAACACCAGCTCATATCATCCCTTCTTATGAGAGCCAATTGCAAAATCTAATGCATAAGTTCCTCATCTCAAGTGGGAATGACTAAGATGGGACTAAACAGAAGTAGCAGATTGATGCAAATGTCGTTGGGACACTTGTGTATCTGGTTCCTAATTTTCTGCTAGCAGGCAGTTTGCTTTGGCTGCTGGGTACGAATTGACACACAACTACAAGCAATAGTCAAAGACGAGAGGAGGGAAGAAAGGCTTGTTGCAACTGCTTTAGGGATGAACACCTCTTTGGTTCTGGAAGTATCATCAGAAGTCTCCTTGTATCCCTCAAGATCAGCTAGCGTTACCAAGACTTCATTGCTTGAAGGAGAGTGTCCAGTATCAGGGAAACAGGTGCTATAATATTGTTGAACAGCCTGCAGGTTGGGTCAATTTATTAAAAAACTGATGGATCACATACACTAATGTACTAAGCATTCATTTTCCATCAATGTTTACTACACTAGTGAATGTACAAGAGTAGAAGATAGAGCGATTGAAATGGTTTACCCAAAATTTTGAGGCAAAAAGCTAAGTAGATAATACCTCAGATTCAAGCTTTCTAAAGTATATACTTTGTGTAATCATCCAAGATGGGTACAATTAATAAGATTGGTTCATTTTAGGAACAAGGGCAAGCATCTACATTACACAAAGATGCAAAGAATTGAGAAACTGCATTACACAGCATTTAAGCACTTGCATAACATTTCCTGCATCTACATTGTATTGGATGAACACAAAAGTCAATAATAATATATAAAATAACAGCAAAATTTCCATGATCTTCTAGGGGAAGTGCTAGGAGAGTTTCACGTAGAGATAAAAGGTCAGCAAGTAATGTATAGTGAGCTTCTTTTAGCATACCTTGGCCTGCATGGAAGTCAATAACACTCGAGGTCGTTTTGCACGTATTACCTCCATAGCAGTAGACGGTGTCATTTGCTTGTACTTGACCTGTCAAAGACATCGATCAGTGATTGAAATTCTCTCCAAATAACAAAGACGAAGAGAAGTTACGTTACAGAATTGCTGTCAGCCAGTCAGTGATTAAACATTACCATGTAGCAAAGTGCAACGGTTGTGCTCCTTCCTCTCCCAGCTTTACAATGTACATAAGTTGCTCTACCACAAGCTGCATTATCTGTACCCAATTAGGAACAACGAAGTCAGCTAACTATTGCAAAACAACAATGATCAAGTACATACCAGAAACCCAAAACATGGCAAAATCAACTTACGGTGAATAAAATCTACTGCTCTATTGATATCATCAAAGGAAGGAGCATACAGGTAGTCTCTGATTGGGACGATGAGATGCTCCATCTCATGAGCCTAAGAAGACCAAGGAGTTAGAGTCAACAGCAACCTCACGAGGGAAAAGGTTAGAGCTTGAACGAAACTTGTACACAATTTGATAATATCTAAATTGAATCATATACGAAGTAACAAAAAATGCAATCCACCTCACCATGCTGACAGTGAATGACTCTGTAGGAAGGACAGTGCACAAGACAAATCATTTAAAAACAAGACAGACTGGCAAAAAAAAGGGTTTACAGGCAAACTTATTACAAGAGAATTAAAATTTAACAGAGATTTTTTAACTTTCGGATGCACGGAAATTGATAAGAGTTTCACTGGGAATCACTAATTATCATCCACAACATTTTCATTCTAAAAAAGTTGATCAAGCAAGGACACTGGAGACTTTACACAAACAAAGCCATGTAAAACTATAATGAGCAACAGACAAAATGAAGACTGAGCAATTTATTGAGGAATAGGAACGGGAAAAGACAGTGTATTTTCGTACATTATGTATCCTTACAGAAAAACACTCCAAAACCTACAACCAGATCAAGAAGAGTGTTGAACCTTCCGAGAATATACTTGTATGAAACATGTGAGTGTGGCCTATGAGGTAGCATAGGCAGCAGAGTTTTGGAGGTGAAAAGGAGGCAGCATTAAGGAGCCATGCAAACACCACAGTAAGCAGGCACCAGGAGCTCACATAAACATAGGAGGTCATTCAAGACAATGAATCAATCTTTTAGAGAGACAGGTTAATTTCAAAGCAGTTTTTAAGCTTTAGAGGAACAAGTGCAAAATAAGCAACAAGAAAATTATATTTATCATGAAGGTCTCTGTGCCAAAAAAATTTAAAACCCATTCAGAATTTATACATATAAAGGCAACCCTCCCAAACCATCATAGAAGTTCTATGAGGCACATAATAACAAAGAACTCCAAGCTGTTCTACATTATAACATAGTGCTCTTTACAAGGGTCCCACCAAAATGCAGGATAAGCATAATCCCTTAACCCTACAGCCGCACTGCCACAGAAAAGTAGCTTCTGCTTGATTCTTGATCAGAAAGGCAATGTATTTCTATCAATTTCAACAAGCAGAAAAAAAAATTGTTTCGTTGAAGTCAGGATCACCAAGCAGGATTAACAGTTACAATGAGGCAAAGTTACCAGTCAGGAACAGGTGCATTCATGTGAAGGTCAGCAAATTCTTCTTCTGTAGGACACAATAGTAGTCATCTCAACTCTCAAGATTATTACAAAACTAAGAAAGCTTAAGATGTAGCCCGTGTAGGTACTTCATAATTTATATATAACAGTATCTCCAAGAAGACACGTCATGATCTAAACCCCAGACGCACAATCTGACACCAACATAGCCTTATTTAAATATATCCTGAAATGCATCCCAGAAAACTCTTCCAATTTTGGACAGTTTTGCCTTTACTATGTCAATTGTCTACTACCAGCTGAACAATGTTTGATGTACCCTAGCTAAATTGATAAGACACACCAGATAAACACTTAGCAGTTAGTTCAGAAAGGAAAACCTAATTTCTGACCATAGCTTGCTCAAAATTTAATGGAACATGTAGAGAATAATCATGAAATATGAGAGAATATGAGAAAAATGATTTATACCAATCAGGATATAAGGAATTCATTGTGTTTGGATGGCTTTCACAGTCTCTATGTGGGAGAGCTTGCAATAGATCTCTGATAAAGAAGTACCTAATGCTAGAAGCTCAAGGGTCTGGCTGATCACAACAATTTCCGTGCAAGAAAATCACGGGAATGTCTGACATGTTTTCATAAACCACAAAAATTGATCTTGCTGACATGAATTCAGCAATTGAATAGTTTGTCAGTCCACATAACTATTTGTTTAACCTACAAAATGACAAACCCAACATACAGCAATGGTTCTAAAGAAGATGATTTTTATGATAAAGTTCCTTGCATTGGACATAAACACAGACCAACAAAAGAAAGGAGCACATGAAAGGAAGGTCATGATTGTAACCCACACCCACCATACGGGTCATTTAGATAACTCATAAGTCGTAACCTCTGGAATTCCACTGTACATGATAAATACACAAGGGTAACTTCACGTTTTCAATTTTCTGCTAGGTTTCAAATTAAGATTCTTAAGGATAATTCACAGGCACAAGGAAAGTTGAAGAGTTGAAGATGTCAACAGCTTGATTGCAATTGGCTGGAACTTAAATTTATTCTCTAGAAAAACTTTTTAAAATTAAAAGAAAAATCAAACTATGCCATGCAATACAAACCCTAACTTCCAGTGTCAAGTGCTCAAGTCACTAAGCCACCCAAAGTGTCCAAAAGACAAAGGACATAGTTACCATTAGAGAACAAGTTCATGACTCCAACAATAGTGTATGGTATCTCATAGCTCCTGGAGTTGATGATAAGTGCTATGACTTATGAACATCAGGTGTCGTTTTGTTTCTGTCAATTACGAAATTAAAAACCAGGACCTAACCTGAGTTCGGTGAAAAAGAAGCAACAAAAAACAAGAAAGGTTTCCTACATGAATGCAAAACAGAATTTAAAAAGATAAGAATTCCAAGAATACCACTTTGTTTATGCAGTACAAGCCATTTCAAGCATGAAAAAGAACCACTGATCAAAAGAAGTCTTGTTCTTGCAACTAACCAGCTCATAAGGCAAAACAAATTTGGGATGTAAAGGTATATTTCAAGTTAAGATTCTTAAGGATAATTCACAGGCACAAGAAAGTTAACTACCTCATAAAACATTCTACAATTCTCCTTTAGATATATCATTTATTGTTTATAGTCTAGAATACTAATCACACTGGAAATATCGAGGAAAGACTAAAGGTATATGTTGACCTTGTACATTGACGAAGGAACCAAAGTCTCAAACGGTTCATTAAGGGTAATCACCCCACCAACACCAAGTTGCTTCAATCGTTCAACATCTTTGGGGAATGGCACAGCACCTAACAACAAAAACTTAATCCCAAAACAAAATCAAAATCAAATTTCTTTCCAAATTATTAATGTCCCCACCATTTTATTTCACTTCCTAATAAATTCAAGATTTCTGCTTTCCATATCACAAGAATTCTCCACAATTTGATTTCATCATACATATATTGACAAAGAAATCAAATATTCACGTTTAGGGTTAACTCAATGATCAAACTCCCATATATTCAATTCAATAGTTTCACCCAATCATGAGAATTAAAAACATTAATATTGCAAGAAAACCCCAATAAATTAAACTTCAACAAATTTCTATACAGCTATAACAAGCTAATAATAATATCAGACATCCTTGTTCAAGGTTCTTATTCCAGGATCAAACCTCCATTTTATATATTCAATACTACCAAATGTAATTCAATAGTTTCACCCAGTAATGACAAATTAAAAGCATTAATATTACAAGAAAAAACCCAATAAATAAAACTCAACAAATTTCTATCTACTTATACTAATAAGATCAAATGAAATTAATATGAAAATGGGGCATAAAATTGAAGTAAAACCTGATCAACTTGATCCCACCATCTGAAATCAGATTCAATTTTATAGCGAAGAACATTGTAGAGAAGAGTTGGGTAGAAGAAGATCCTAGCTCCAGCTCCAATCAACACCTTTTTAGCATCAATCTTTATGATTATTTTCTTCTGGGTTTTCTTCAAATTCCACTTTTCTATGTCATTAACAACAAGATCATCTTCTTTTTGGGTCGTCATCTTCTAAAAATGCAATCCCAAATAATAAGAAATAATTGAAATTTTTCTTAAAATTAAACTTTTGTTATGTTAATTAGAACTCTATCCACCAAATTAAAGTGTTGCTTATAAGATAAATTGGGGGAGCCCCCATTTATCATCAATATAAACATATTTTGTTTATCTAATGGTCAATTCGTAAATAACTTGAACAGTACCTACCTTACACATCATGCTGATGTCACTCAATTTAACATCCTCCGTCAAAAGCTTCAACCTCCATTAAAGCTATCTCCTTCTTCCTCCTTCCACCGACACTATAAGTACTACCATTTTTAAGATCTTCGACACCATCTTTCACCGACAGGGTCGACACTACCTTCCGTCAACGATGACGGCGGCTTCGCCGCCAAATAAAAACGAAAACCCTATGAAAACGAGTGAAATTAAGGGTATGGTCAACCCCAAAGGATAGGGGTAACCATGTCCTCCATTGAAACTTGCATTGAGCTTGATTTTGTTCATTGAATTTCTCTATTGATGTTCTTCATTGTTGCTGAAATGACATAATAGTCCCTACGGCATAAAATGACGTTTATACTCGTAGATAAATAGATTTTGTTTATCATCAAGATAAACTTGTATTTTCTCGAAAAATTGACAGAGAATGAAATTCTAGTTTTGTTAAAAAAAGATATTACAGTGGAAGATTTACAACTATGGAATATTATTATGCTTTCGTTACTTCTCGGTCAATTAACAAATTGGTAAAAAAAAAAAATAAACCTTAGCGACAAATTGGTAAAAATTGCTTCGGCAATAAATTGGTTAAAAACTACCTTCAAGCGACATTTTGGTAAAAAAAAAAAATAATCTTAGGCGACAATTAAACCTAAAATACAAAATTTCCAACAAACTACTTGTGATTGCTATCATTTTCGTGGTTTTTTTATTTAAAAAATATATATATATATTTTTCCACCTCAATTTCCAACCCTTTATAAGGAAATAAAAATTTGAAAAAAAAAGGTTTAAATTGTTATATAATATATGTATTTAGTGGATGTCCATTATACCCTTATAATTATTCTAGGATATTCTAAATATACTAGGCTTATTACTCTACAAGAAACCCTAATTGTATCACACACACACATACATACATACATACATACATACATACATATATATGTATATATATATATATATATGTATATATATACTATATATATATATACATACATATATATATATATATATATATATATATATATATATATATATATATATATATATATATATATATATATCATTTAGTAATAAGAATATCGATCTATTCTCTCCCCCACTTTTTCCTCTTTCTCTTTAATTTCATAACACGTTATTAGCACCAAAGCTCTTAGCGACAGATTAAGATTATAAATCTACCATCAAAAGTCATTGATTCCTTCCATGATTTCGATTTGGAAAAAAAAAATGTAAACAACCATTTTTTTAACGAATTTGGAGATGGAAATATCCTACATGATCGATCTGAAGCAATATCAACGAAGTTATGTGATGTGAGATTTGCCAATTGCAAAGTCCTCGTTCGAAGAATCTTTGTACCCAATTATACTAATTCTTATCATGAGGGAAAATCAGTTCAAGTTGATAACAAGAACACATCCAATAATTTGTTCTTAATCAGGTAAAACTCCCTAATCCCCTATGTTTGGGTCCAATTTAGTCCAATTGGGCCTGGTCACTGAATGATCCAATTAAAAGCCCAAGGCAAAGGTTCAACTCTCCAAATATGCTAAAGTCAAAAATCAACATCCTCAAAGCCATGTCAAGGTCAGTCAACGGCCCAATCAGCTTGGCCCAGCCCAACTGATTTCCGGGCCCAATCCGCCTCCTTCATTAGCCAAGGTATAAAAGCCAACAATTTGGTCAATTCTTGGTAAGACAAAGACAAAGACAATAAAGCCTCAAGCAACTAAACTCTTGCACAGCTTTCTCTCTCTAATATACTGACTTAAGCATCGGAGGGGCCTTCCTCGGCGTCCCCCCCGAGGCTAGTTTACGTGTATTTGTTGTGCAGGAAACCCTCGGCTCCTGCGTCGTTCGGACCGAGACCAAGTTCCCTCAAGATAAAAGGATCTTCCGAGATTCGATTGTTTTCATCCGAAACAATTTGGCGCCGTCTGTGGGGACCGCTACTAAATTTCGCGTCAGTCATCAAACACTCCGGCAGTCGCCATGACTAAGAGTGGAAAGAGTTCCAAGAAGGCTAAGAAGGGAGGAGGCCGGATTACGGTGAGGGAACGCCAGCCGGTTTATCCCTCCCCGGAGCAAGCCTCTTCCGAATCGGAGGCCCCCATTTCTCCGGAAAGGGAAGCCTCAAGAGGTCCTAGCCTCCAGGAGGAGAACACCTTGCACCACACTCGGCAGCCGGGGCCATCCCCGAGACCGAGTGGCTCAGGTGCGAGGAACTCCCCGCCGCGCCATAGCGTGCAATCCAGGTCACATCCGCGGGAGACTCCTCCCTCCGGACCCTCCACCGAGGAAGTGGCCAGAGCAGTGGCCATCTGCATGGAGTTCCTTAAAGCTCAAGGGGCTCCAATCCAGATGCCTGATGATCACCAGCCGAGAAACCTGAAAAGGAGGATCGGTCAGGATGATGGTGGACAAGTTCCACCACATAGACAACTCGGCCAGAGGTGGCGAGGGGACACCCGAAACTCCAGTAAGGAGAGGAGGAGGAACCCTCAACCCTCTGACCACTCTGAAGCTCAGAATTCCATGGGGCCCTACAAGGACCCGGAATTCGCCCGCCAAAGCGTTCACGAACGCTTGGGTTCGAGGGAGGTGAGTGTGCATAGCCGCCTCACCTTCCCAGAGGATACCGGACCCCACCCAACCTTGTCTCAGCCGGGGACGAAAACCACTTCCACCTCTGAGAGAGGAGGGAGCGAGGTCCCTGAGGCCGGGTACAAGGGGAAGGCGGTCATGGTTCCATCGAACTCGCCCTTCCAGAAGTGGATTCTGGAAGAGCATGTGCCAACGGTCAAAATCCCGGCACATATTACTTACGATGGTACCTCAGATCCTAAGGATCACATTGCCTCTTACGAGGGGCACATGTATCTGAACCCGAGGTCTGAGGCTACCTGGTGTAAATACTTTCCTACGACCCTCAAAGGTGTTGCCCAATCCTGGATCACCAAAGGGCTCAAGGAAGGCTCCATAACCGGTTGGAACGACCTCTCCAACAAGTTCAAGAGCAAATTCTCTACGGCCAACCGCCGAGAGAAGACCACTGCAGAGCTAATGAGTCTGCAGCAGGCGGAGGACGAGAGCCTCCGCGACTATCTGACTCGCTTCAGCAACGAGTCATCCGGAATCACAAGCCTGGATCAAGGCCTGGCCGTGTTCGCGCTACGGAACGGCCTCCAAGCTGGAAAGTTCCTGGACTTCATGGTCATGCATCCCCCGCAGACCCTGGAGGAAGCCTTGGAAGCATCGGATAGGTTCATCCGAGCCGAGGAGTGGAACAGATCCAGGTCTCAGTCTCGTCCGAGAATTGACAAGCCGAAAGGGCAGCAGCCCGAAGTCTCGGCGCAGAGGAAAGGGAAGGCTAAGGCCTCAGAACCGTCCTCTGCTGCCGAGCCGAAGAAGGAAAGACACTTTCCCTACACGGGAAGGTACGATTCATACACTCCACTCTCCCTTCCCCGTGCTAAGATTTTCAGCACGACGAAGGACGAGGGGAGATTCAAAAAACCTCGTCCGTTGCCTCCCTGGCATCAGACGAGGGGAAAGGACCAGTGGTGCGAGTTCCATGACTCACCCGGACATCGCACCGAGGACTGCGTCCAGCTGAAGGACCAGATTGAGGATCTGGTCCGCAAGGGGTACCTGAGCCAATACCTCGCGGACAGGCGCGAGGAGAAAAAAGCTGAAAAAGATTCTCGGCAGGACCTCAACTTCGCTCGGAAGAAGGATAAGGGACCTCAGGGCAAGGAGTCCCTCGACATCCTAGTTATTTCCGGGGGAATCTCGCGAGGCACAGCCAAACGCCAACTGAGGGGTCTAACCCATCAGATTCATCTGGCTGAGCTTCGGCAGTCCCAGTCACCGGCGCCGAACATCCTGTTCACAGCCGAAGACTGTGAGGGGGTGGTATACCCCCACGATGACCCACTAGTAATCATTCTGGGCATCGCCAACCGCAACGTCTGGCGGACCCTCGTCGACGGCGGTAGCGGGGCGAACATCCTCTTCCGAGGAGCGTTCGACCAGCTGAGGATGGGAGCCGAGCACCTGGACCCCGCACCCTACCCGGTGTCTGGATTCAACGGCTCTTCCTCGTATCCTGACGGGAAGATTACACTTCCTGTCACCGTCGGCGAAGGCCGAGCAGCTAGGAATATCATGGCCGAATTTTTGGTCGTAGATGCTCCATCTGCATACAACGTGATCATGGGGAGACCCCTCATTCACGGCATTCAAGGAGTCGTCTCCACGTATCATCAAATCATGATATACGTTTCAGACGAGGGACGCTCCGAGAAAATAAAGGGCAGTCAAAAAGAAGCCCGCCGATGCAATCACCTCAAGCCATCCACGTCTCGCCGAGGCGACCGTGGCGATGGGGAGGAAAAGCACCGGGACCGAAACGCCAAAAAGCCGAGAGGCTCAGACGTTTCGGCTAATGAAGCCCCAGACAACGAGAAATCTGATGGGGGCCAAGAGGCTGACTCCGCCTCAGAGCCGAACGACTCTGATGGCCAGCCGCGGTCAGGAAAGTCTGCTAATATTGATAGCAGGCCGGAATTCGAGGAATCCAACTCTAAGAGCATGGAGACGGATGACCTGACCGAGTCAATAGAACTGACCGTAGGAGATCCGAACAGATGTGTTAGCATCGGGTCGTCACTGGAGCCAGACACCCGTGCGGCACTCGTCCAACTCCTACGGGCCAGTGGAGACGTGTTCGCCTTCTCAGCCGCAGAAATGCCCGGGATTGATCCGGACTTCGTCTCCCATAGGCTTAATGTCGACCCCTCCAGTCGACCCATTAAGCAGAAAAAGCGGAACTACTCCGCCGAAAAGAACCAGAACATCGCAGCTGAGGTCGATAAGCTCCTAGATGCTGGGTTCATTGAACCCTGTCAGTATCCGGAGTGGCTGGCCAATGTTGTAATGGTTCAGAAGGCAAATGGTAACTGGAGGATGTGCGTTGACTTCACGGACCTGAATAGGGCATGTCCCAAGGACTCCTATCCGCTGCCGAGGATCGACCAACTGGTCGACTCGACAAGCGGGCATGCTCTGCTCAGTTTCATGGACGCATTCTCGGGATACCATCAGATCTTCATGCACCCCGAGGACCGAGCTAAAACAGCGTTCATAACAAGTTCCGGGTTGTACAATTACAGAATGATGCCCTTCGGATTGAAAAATGCGGGGGCAACATATCAGAGGTTGGTAGATCAGGTTTTCGCCGAGCAAAAAGGCCGAAACATGGAGGTTTATGTTGACGACTCAATCGTCAAAAGCATAAAAGAAAAAGATCATGTCACGGACCTAGCCGAAACCTTCGCCACCCTCAGAAAATACAAAATGAAGCTGAATCCGAAGAAATGTGTCTTCGGCGTGAAGTCAGGCAAGTTCCTCGGCTTCATGGTCAGCAAGAGGGGGATTGATGCAAACCCCGCCAAAGTACAAGCTGCTTTAGACCTCCCCGAGCCGAAGACAAAAAGGGATATTCAGCGTCTAGCCGGGAGAATGGCTGCCTTGTCCAGGTTCATCTCACGAGCCTCAGACAAAGGGCTCCCTTTCTTCAAGGCGCTGAAGCTCCAAAATTCAAAAGG